GGCAGGATGGAGGGCAGGACCCCTGCACAGAAGGGATGGCAGCTCTGGCAGTGAGGGCCGCACTGCACTATGCTCAGCAGCTGCCACATCCCACTGCCGTGAGAGACAGCAAGCAGGTCTGCACAGACATGGGCCCTGCAGCCATCCCTCTGCATGGAATGCTCTCGGAGTCACACAACAGCTTTGCCTTCCACGAAGCACTGCTGCCTGTGACAAATGCACAGAGGCAGCGTGTGCCCTGCAGAGAGCAAACCGTGCTGCACTTGTACACACCTCGCAGGAGCGACGAAGAGATGTATGAGAACTTAACTGAGGTAACAGGAATTCCTGCTTGGGATGGAGCTCTCCTCTTGTGTACTTTAATGGAAAACGTTACTTTAAAATTTTTTTTGGTTAGGAATATTCTCTTCTAAAATAAGTACAAAAACGAATCGATAAATTTATTCTGCAGCTGAAAACATTTTGGCAAACTTTCAATGAAAGCAGCGAAGTTTCTCCTTTCAGCAAATAGCTGACCCAGCACTGCCTGCCACAGCTGTGCCATAAAGAAGACACACAAACCTGACTCACTCTGGGCAGCCACACAAGGCCTTTTTTTTTAGAAATCTGACAAAAATGATCATGCCGTCTGCAGTTAAGGAAGCGAGGTACAGACGGTGAGTAAATCGCTAAGGAACGTGATGAGCAAACTGCAGCACAGCACACAGAGGACAGGTCCCGCAGCCTGCACTCCAGCATACTGCTGCATTCCTGCACCTATCTCCCTCCTTCACAGACCTGCAGCATTTGCAGCTGCTCCGCAGGGCTCCCAGCGCAGGGCAGACTGTGCCGCTCTGCTTGTGGCCGCAGCTCTTCTGATCTCCAGGGAACACTTCTGAGGCACCTTCCCAGAAATTCTGCTCCAGTGTTTCACCAACTGTATCAGGAGACCTCTTTTTTTTTACTATTATCTAACCCCAACCTTCCTCCTTTCCATTTAGGGCCATTATTTCTTGTTGTCTATATCCTGAATAGAGAGATCAAATTATTTTCTTCCATTCAGAAGCACTTTATGCACAAGAAGACTTATTTTGTCCTCCCCTCTTTTTGGGTCAGGTAAGCTCCTTTATTCCACTTTCTCCTTAGAGCTGACATTATACTGACCACGGTCTTTATTTGTGCTGTTCAGCTTTTCTGAAATTGCTCCACTTTCCTGACACCCAGAGCTCTGAAGCAGACACGATCCTCCAGGGGAGGCTTTCCAGAGCTGAAGAAATGCATCTCTTTCTTATAGTATTTTTATCTACATCACGATTAGTCGAGCTTCATTTTGAGAACGTCCTGAACAGCACCACCAGAAGCCTTTCTAAGGAGAAGACACAAGATGCTGCCTGCAATGAGGCCTTCCTCACACGGAAGGAAATTGGGTCGTGTTGACATGATTTGTTCTTGACAAATCCATGTCGACTGTTCCTCATCTCATTATCTTCCAGTCAGTACTTACAAACAGTTGTTTGGTCAATTCCCAGGAAAATCTGGGGCAAACGAAGCTGGCAGGTGTGCGGTTCCCCAGCCACTCCTCTGCTTACAGATAAATACCATGTCTGTCCCCCCACAGCCCCATCTCTCATTTTCTGGGACTCACAAGAGAGCAGCTGACAGGTTGGACAGCTGAGGTGGTCGCCTCCTCAAAATGCCCAAGGATGAAGCAGTGGACACAGACCTGAACACAGGTGGCTGAACTGAACCCTTGGCAACCTGTTCCTGCGGCTGGACCACGAGCCTTCGTGCAGTGCAGCCAGCAGGGCTGCTGCTCTCTCATGCCGTCGGTGCATTTAGTCAAGATAAAAGCACACAACGTGACCACTCTTCAGTTTTGCTGACATCAGGGTTGAGCTGCAGACCAGCTCGTGCCCTGCAGTCTTCTTACAGCAAGGCATTGTTTGAGTGCCTCTTGGTGCTCCCTATATCCTGGGATATCCCCATATCCTTCCCTGTCTGCATCTCAACTTCCACTGCTGCATTTTGATTACCTGCATAGGTGGACAGTGCAGCTCTATTTTGTCAAGACTAACATAACCCAGTTTCTATTCCCTTCCATGTCTGGGGTCCACAAGGACACAGTGACACAGCCACGCTCCTCAAGGGAGCTTGAAAGCAGAAACAACGCAAGACTGAGGGTGGTACGTGTCGAGCAAATCCACTGTACAGAAATGAATTCAGGACTTCTTTTGCTTTCAAGTTCAAGGCTAGTGTTGCTACGCATTTGAAAGCAGGCCTCAAATTCAACAACACACATGCAGAAACCTTGCTGGGGCTTTACGCTTCAGGCTGGCAGTGGCCCTGGGTGCTGTTTGTCCAGATACACACCCACAGCAGCCTAGCTGCGTTTTCCACTGTGTGTTTTCCTGTGAAGACTTAATGAAGCTGTGAAATCTACCCACGGATTTTGCAAAGAGAAACCTGAGATTCTTACTCAGCAACGTAAAGATTGTTACACACCTACAGTTTGTTTCAGGATGTCACAGATCCAGCAGAAAGCAAGCAGTTAACAGAGCACGAGCACAGGGTCTGCCTCTCTGCTCTTCTGTGTAAAAACCAGAGTTATGGTAAAAACCAGACCATAATGGAAAAGTAGGTTAGCAATCTCTCCAGTCTTAACTACAGGGTGGGGTTTCATGATATGCTTAATCCAGCCTAAGCGCTGTCAGCTGCCAACAAGGGCAGTCCCTTTCCTCTCCTCCAATCCCAGCTGCACATTTCCACTGCCCGTGTCAGGCCCAGCACCACGTGAGAACAGACGAGCTCTGACCTGCGGCCATGGGGCTGGCAGGGAATGCATGAGTGACCACGGCTTGAACTACGTGAGCCTGTTGCAAAGCTACACCCGAAGACTTCACAGCGCCTACATCACACCAACAGCACTGTGCAGCATGGTTGTTTAAGGAAAGAATTTTGCAGAGTAGTGTTCTGCACCTCCCCGCTTTCCTTTCTCAGATTGAAAGATAAAGAGGGACCAAAACCCACCTGTCCATTTGCTCTGGTCCTTGTCCCCTGCACTCTCTTGCTCCTTGGCAGGCTCTTCAGCATCAACAGCTGTTTCATTGGGTCCTTCTGCATCTTCAGTGGCTTCGTCTGAAAAACAAAAAGCAGAAAGAATAACATAAAAATGAAAGTCAAGTCAGAAGATCAAATAACTGCCACTGAGGAACAGAGCGCAACCGCTGGGTGTTGATGCCACCCAGCATTATCTGGTGACCACCTACTAGCTGGTAAAGAAAGGCTATGGAAGATACTGACGGGAGGAAGTGAACCTGGCCTATGACTGCCACTTACAGCCCCTGCAGTGTAACAAGCAGAAAAACGATTGCCTGGAACGAGAAGGGTCTACTCAACCATGCCATAGATCAGAGAAGTGCTGGGGCCTGATCAGAGCCCTCAGCACCGTCAGCCTCTACTCTTCCCTCATCCCCAGCTCGAGCTCCTAGGAATGGACGGCACTGCACAGTGTGGCCCTGACCACTGAGACCCCCAGACCACCTCAGAGCAACACAACTCACCGCTGCTCAAAGCAGGGGGCAGAGGGCATGGCCCTGACACAGGACATGGGAGGAGGCTGCTGAGGGGCCTTATTTTCATCCCGGCCACGGGAAAAGCTCGAGCACACAGGCAGCAGCAGTGCAAAAGCACGAAGGAAAAACATGAAATGGCACTGCCCAACCATGAACAAAAGCAGCGGAGTGCAGTGGCCGCGGCTGCACGGGGCACATCGACATGGCTGAGCGCCGCTCCATGTGCAGGCACCCTCGTTAGGCGGGACACAGGGAGAGAGACAGCTGTAGCTGCCAGACCTCCAACACCAGGATGTAACAGCCACATTATCATCTAACATCGCGGGTATGTATGTGTAGTGCAGGCAGCTCAGCAGCCACCACGTAATTGACGGGGGCTACATCAACAGTGGGAGGAAAGGGTACTTTTAAGCCATTATATCCTCTTTCAGGCAGGAGAGTTCATAATTTTAACTTGCATTATGGTCATGGAAAATCCAAGGCTATCCTGAGGCTTTATCTGAACTACCTAACTAGTTAAATCATCTCCCTTCACACATCCTCCTCCTAACAATGACAGGGCAAGAAATTGGGATTAAAAAATATATATATTAGGAGACTGCAGATACTCAGCACTGCCCCTTGAGAACGTGGCAACTTAAATCAAGGAGGAACTTGCAGAAGCATCCAGAGATCCGCAGTGATATTCAGAGGAAGCGTTGCGATTTATACACCACCTCTCTTTCACTTTTTTTTACAAGCTAAAGATGCTTGAGAACTGCAGGGATCCCAGGAGTCTTATCCCGAGAGAACAGATCCCAGAGCAAGAGGCACCTCTGGGGAAAGCGCCTACTGCAGAAAGCCACGTGCTACTGACGCAGAGGTGAGACGAGCGGTCTGCCTTGCGAGACGCGTGGTCAAGTTTGCTGGAGAAAAGGCTGTGGCATCAGCAGTCGGGTTCCCATTTCAGAAAATACTCCATTTTTCCCCCCCCCCTTCGCCCCCCCCCCCCCCCAAACCCACTCCCTCGCTGCCTTCCAAAGGCTGTGGTGCAGGGTGAGAGCGCGTCTATTTAACAGAGGCAGCTGGCGTGAAGAGCAGATTTATGCCGGCCTGATCAAACCCCTTCATTAAGAGTTGTCTATTGCCGCGTTAAACCCTCGCTAAGGACACCCAGGGGCTCCCAGCTCCCCGCCCCGGCTGCCCGCGGGCGCTGCGGGCACAACAAAGGTGCCCGGCGCGGCGGCACTCCCGGCTACGACCCGGAGGTGTCAGCATCGGCATGGCAGCAGGACGGCTGCTGGCTGCCCGCTCAGACGCTGTCTGGGCTCTAACCTGAGCATGTGGAAATAATAGACGTCTTCAAGTGCACTGTCTGGTTTGAGGGAAATAAAATAGGACATTCATAAGCAGTTACACCATCTGTCTTTATACCATCATCATCATCAACAAGGGGAAAAAATAGCTCCTTAAAATGGATGAAAGCCCAGGCTGACAGTAACCGGAAAAATGTGAGCTATGAATACCAATAAAGGTAGAAAATGATTAAAAAACAAGGCTACAAATGGCAACTCCTTCTGCCCTGCTCAGCGTGCAGCCCCTCATTCAAGGCACAGCCTGTCTCACTGGGCAGCCTTTAACAAAGCCACCAGACAGACTCTCGTACCAAGCGCTTGCTGAGCCCTGTTCCTGGAAGCAGCTCCTCTCTGAGGATAAAATCTGCCTCCTTGGCTCAAACACCCCTGTGCTGGACAGGCAGGCAGCAGAAAAGCACACCCATGCTCCAAAACCTCCTCCTCCTCTCTCAACTCTGTGCAATTTTTTTTCTGAAAAGCAATTTCTAAAGCAGGATGAGAAGGGAAGAGAGCACAAGATGCATGTGCCCCGGGAGGCCCAGCTGGGCTGCAGGTCAGCAGCAGAAGCTCCGCGCACTGCTGCTGCTTGGCTATGAGTTCAGGCTGTCTGTGGCCGCCCCAATGCTGCTCTGGGGCTGTGCTGCAGCCGTGCTGCTGCTCCTGGGGGCTCTTGCAGCTGAGGGTTCTTGTGCTACTGCCGCCTGCACGAGGATGTGGGGCAGGGAAGTGTTAACTCCAGCTACCTCGTGACGCTCTTCCAACAGATTTTTGGATGGCTGGATTCAACTTTGCTTGCTGTGCTCAACCCAACTTGTCCTGCAGCCATTGGTGCGTAAAACTGACTCCAGGGATGGCTGGGGACACATCCTCTTCCACGCCAGCCTTCAGTTGGCCAATGGCACCCAACCACCTGTGCTTTTGCATTTCTTTGGGGCATCTTTCAGACAGAGCAATGCCAGTAGCACATCTGGTGAGGAAACGTCCAATTTTCTACTTGATCCGTTGCACATGCATCATGGAGTTGTTAAGCTCCAGTTTTCTTCCATCTTAATTGCCTGCAAATCCCAATGGCACGCTGCTCCCATGCTGTACTCTAACAGAGCGACTTTTGCCTTTACCTAAAGCCTGACAGCCAAGACAGGAGTAGGAAGAACACCTCATGGTCAACTCCTGAAGGCCAAATGGTCAGTAAGATATGGGAAATTTATTTCCAAATAACAGTGATTCTTTGAGGCTGCAAACACTGCCTGTTAGGATTGTTTCACCTTACAGCTTGAGTGTATTTTCATTATGGGGACTGATAAAAACTCTCCCAGTTAGGTGCTCAACTCAGAGTTGTTCGTCTTAAGAAGTGCCCCAGTCAGGACTGATATCCAGGGGGTGTGATGACCCTGCAGTATCTCAGCTGTACACTGGAGTGTCTGCAGGTCAAGGGCGGACACTGAACACAGAGGCATGGAAGTCCTTCACAAAAGATGTTTCATAGGAGGCACTGGGGGCTCCGGACAGGCAGAGATGCTGCTCTGCCTCACACACACAGACGATGTAGGAACCAGACTGGTACCCTCAGCTTCCCAGCTAAGCATGGTTTATGGGGCTGTGAAGGGTAAATGGACTTCATCTGCGAGAAGCTCACCAGAGCAAGTCAAAAGCTGTTGCTATGGGATCTGCATGAGGGGGATCACGTCCCATTGAAACACAAATGCTACAGCCTGCTCATGGGTCCCCATGCCAGAGTGTCGCCCACGAGGCACGTGACGTTGCGTTAATAAATTCTTAAAGGAATTTTCCAGCCCTAGGGCATCAGGTCAACAACAAGAGTGCGCAGCTGTAACTGTGGGCAGGCAGAGGGCTGAGGAGTCTGTTCCTCCATCATACAGAACCGCCCCATGCAAATTCCTAGGAAAAGTCTTTTCTTCCTTCGTGAATAAATCATTTTAGACAGTGGCATTTCCTTTTAATTTAAAATTAAAGCAGTCACTATGGGAGGGAGGGAGGGTGAAGAAGAGGGGGAGAGGAGTCTGGAAAATCATGGGCATCTCCTGACATCTGCAGATGTCGGAGTCTCTGAGCTCAGTTACGCACTGAAAATGCGGCCGAGTCCCCGCACACAGCACTTCCACCCCCCTCCGAGCCGATGAAGTTCGTGGGTGTGGAGAACTCAGCAAATGACGACTGGATTCAGACCAGGCTGAGCAGCCAAGACCTCCCCCCTCCTCCCTGCTGTATTTTCCTTAACAAACCCAGATCCCATATCTGAGGGGGTAAGGGGCATTTCAGGGGTGGTGGAATTGTAGCGACGGGAGAGAAAGGGCACGCATTTGCCTCCCCACCCTCCGGCAGGCTCAAGAGCTGAGAAACATTAGCTGTCATGAACCACAATCAAATCAGGTTTGAAATATTTAGCAGTGGCTTGGAAAATGCGGTGGTGCAGCTCTGACAGGCGAGATGTGCAGACACCCATTTTCCATTATAATGGAAATATCAAGCCTGTTCTGAATATGTATAACCTAGAAAAATGTATTGATTTTTCATTCGGCATTAAAAAAATGAAATACCCTGCAGCTGTCAAAAGCCTTTTGTTAAAAGCTCATCTTTCCTGGAATGAGGTTTACCAGAAACAAGTTTTAATTGTACACAGGGTCTTTCCTTTGAAACAAAAAGAATCACTGATGCTCCCCCATTTCAGGGTAAGTAGCCAAAAAACCCCGCAGACAGGCAGCACGGAGACCCGGCTGACTTTTAAGCCAGTGCCGCAGGGAGCGCTGACAGCAGGGCCACGCACAGCCGGCTGCACGGGGAGGGGAGAACACCCCAGCAGGGCTTCACCTGAACCCACCTAACCCACGCCTGTGCGCCGGGGGCAGAGAGCACACACAGAGCGTGGCAGGAAGCTGAGCTGAGCCAGCAGGACACGCTGCCCAGAGCCTGGCCAACTGGCTGTCCTGGCACCATGCGAGACGGGCAGCAGCTCCCTGCTTACAGGGAAATCGGTGCCAGCTATCGGCCGTGCTGCACGCTGCTCCGCGCCACGTGAGACCCACCGCGGCCACAGCACACGCGGCCATCTCTGCTCCCACTGGGTGACCCAAAAGGCAGTGAGCTTCTGAACTTGGGTACTGCTGCAATGCCATGGCCTTGGCACTGCTCCTGCATGGGAGACGCCCATGCATACAGGGGAATGGAGCATCCTGCCTTCTGTTTCTCTCCCATTGTTTCTGTAAACCCA